TTTCATCAAGGGCTTGGAGCTCTTCTTTCATTGCTCCTCTCCACACAGACTGTGAATTTGCTTCGTGGAAACTGGTTGGTTCTGACACCTTGGAAATACTGCCCAAGAAAGCTGAATAAGATTGAGACACGTTCTCATAATTTATATGATGTTGGATTGGATACCTTGTAGAATAATAACTGATAAAGTCCTTGTACTTGGTTGGCTTCTGTCGTTCTCTTGATGATCGCCGCAGTTCAACAACAGCAGATTCATTGACAGAAGTATTATTCCTGCCATGCAGTGGTTCAACACACGGTATCTCATTAACTTGATCTGGTACTTCGTTAACCTCTTGTTGATTTTCCAATTGGGAAGAGCCACTTGAATCTTGAACCTGATTGAGAGTTTGTGGGACCACAATAGCATCAATGGTTGGAAGAGGAATAAAGTCAGATAAGTGCTCCCCCTGAACCCCAACTTCAAGTTGTTTTTCAAAAAAACTTTCTGCCTCCTCAAAATAGACATCACGGGAGATAAACAACTTTTTTGTTTTGGGGTCGTAGCACTTGTACCCCTTTTTTGTAGAGGAATAGCCAAAGAACACACACTTGGTGGCACGAGGATCAAACTTATCTCGATGAACAGCTTGAACATGGGCGTAACAAACACAACCAAAGACGCGCAGGTGGGATAAGTTAATCTTTCGTCCCTTAAGCACTTCAAGTGGTGATTTGTACTCAAGGACCCGACTAGGGAGTCTGTTGATTAGGTAAGCTGCAGTGAGAACCCCATGAGACCAATACCTTTTTGGAACATTCATATGAATCATGAGAGATCGAGTCTTTTCTAAGAGATCGCGATTTTTCCTCTCTGCTATTCCGTTTTGTTGTGGGGTACCAACACAGCTGGTTTCATGAATAATTCCTTGATCAATCAAATATTCAGATAAGAGACTTTTGACATATTCTGTTCCATTATCGGATCGAAGGACTTTAATTCGAGAGTCAAACTGATTCAGCACCATTCTATGGAATTCCTTGAAAATATGAGTAACCTCCCTTTTTGATTTCATCAAATACAACCATGTAGCTCGAGATACATCATCGACAAAGGTAATAAAGTATTTAAAACCATCAAATGACTCTAAAGGAGCAGGGCCCCAAAGGTCAGAGTGAATTAAATCAAAAGGTCTGTCAACTTTAGAAACAGAGGAAGTAAAAGGCAGCCGGGTCTGCTTGGAAAAATGACATGTCTCACATGCATGACAGTCGACAGGCAAGGAAGGGAAGAGATGCCTCTGGACTTTACTAGATGGATGAGCCAACCGTTGATGCCATAACTGACCATTCTGAACAGAATTGACTTGGAGAGCTTTTGGATTTTTAACTGGTTGATGTACCAGGTACAAGCCATTGGAATAAACACCTTCACCAATCATCCTCCCCGTGGTCCGGTCCTGGAAAACCACATCATAAGGAGAGAATATAACATTGCAGTTTAATGTGTTAGTCAATTTTCCAACAGACAAAAGTTGAGTAGGAAATGAAGGAATATATAAAGCTGTAGAGCAGGCCTCAGAGTCTAGAAAATTGACTTTTCCGTGACCAAGAACAGGGACATAATCACCATTGGCTACAGAGACTCTTTGGTTGTTGTTGGAGGTTTGAAACTCATGCATACAACTTGAATTATTGGTCATATGGTCCGTGGCACCAGTATCAACAACCCAAATATCAGAGTTTTTATTGAGCGAAAGCAAGGCAGATGGGAGAGCATGGATGATACCTGATGCCAATGAAGCAGATGAAGCATCCAAGGAAAGTGTTTGAGATTTACCCATTTGTTGTAACAGTTGGGTGACTTGACTGATTAATGCCCATGAGTTGGTCGAACTGGTTGAGGCCTCAGGTTTACTCATTTTTTGCAGCACCTGCAATAGTTGACTGGTTACGGCTGCAGGTGTTAGAGTTGCTGCAATCATTGAGTCTTCATTTGTTACTTGATGAGCTGCCTTTTCATGTGGACCTACTGCCTTCTCAGATTGAGTTGAAGCCTTGTTGATATCTCTTCCATTCTTTGGCTTTAAGTGTGGATGGAGAATCCAACATCTGTTTCTAGTGTGTCTGGGTTGTCCACAATAATCACACTTCACAGGATCCCTTTGTCCCTTTCTTCGGTCAACTACAAATGCCTTTGACTCTGAAGTCACAGTATGTGACTTTGTTTCACTGTGCATCACTTTCCTTCGGATTTCTTCTCTTTGAATAATGGTACAAATATTGTTAAAGGAAGGCATCTCAGTACTCATGAGAATATTTCTTCTAAGATCTTCATAGTCTGAATCAAGACTTGCAAGCAACTGAAAATTTTTATCTTCCTCTGCCCTCTGCACAAGAACCTTAGAATCAGTCGTATGAGGTCGATACAGGGCAAGCTCATTCCACATACCTTTCAATTTCCCAAGATGCTCAATGAAGGATTTTCCCTCTTGATAAGCTCCTGCAATTTCTTTCTTTAACTCAAAAATTCGGGCTGCATTGTTTTGCTGCCCATACATCTCTTTAAGGGACTCCCACAAGTGTTTAGAGGAATCTGAGTAGCTGAAGATTTCAGCAACTTGTGGCTCCATGGAATTTAAAATCCAAGACATAACAAGTTGATCCTTTGACAGCCATTCTTCAAATTTTGGATCACCATCATCTGGGGCTGGATTTTTTCCATTAATAAATCCCAGCTTTGATTTTCCTCCAAGAGCTAAAGTAACAGCTCTGGACCAAGGGATATAATTGAAACCATTCAAGAGAACAGAGCAAAGCCTCATGTTTGGATTTGCCTCAAACTCAGAAATGCCAGCAGCTGTAGCATTAGTAACAGTAGCGGTAGACTCAACTTTTTCTCCCATGGAAGAGAAAACAACGGAGAAGACAACCGACTAAATAAAAGGAGAAACAGGTGGGCTTCTACCACACCTGCTCTGATACCATGAAGAAATAAAGGCTATGAAATAGCAACAGACAAGAACAAAGAATTATAATGGTTCGGCTGTTGATACCTACATCCACTTTGAATGAGATTGTCTTATTCATCATAACACATCAAGACAGCTCTTTAGAGCTTTATAGATGGATACATCACAAGGAAATAATAAACAATTATACAATGCCCAAGGTAAGCATGCAAAAGTAACAAGCACCCGAAACAAGCATGCTCCATTAGACAAGCATGCTCCACCACTGCACAGCTATCCAACCAATGAATAATATAATAATATAGTATTCCAACAA